CCAACAAATTCACTAATTTGTTCTTCCTTTTGAGGCCAAAGAGATAACCTTACAACTCCCTCAAGAATATACCTCAATTCTTGAGAACACTCTTTTCTCAAAGAGAAATACAAATTTGCAAACTTACAAGAAAAACCTCACAAGGTAAGATGTTTGCACAATTCTAGAACAAGAAAAGAACACTCAAAGATAATTACAAATGAGCATAAATGGTGTTCTTGAAAGCAAAATGAATATTGAAAAGAAAAATTGGCTTGATTTGCACAAACTTGGTGTTTGATGCTTTCTCTCTTATTTCTCTATAATTTCTTGTTGATCAAGGGCTTCAGAACTTGTTTAAATACACCTTGAATCACTTCTGAACGTTGGGGATGATTAGTGAAGATCATATAGCCGTTTTAGTGTGAAAACAATTAATAAAACAGCTTGGAGCGTGGGGGGAATCGGTACCCCCTATGGGGAATCGGTTCCCTAAGTGTAAAATTCAAATATTTCGACCGTTATACAAGGGGGGAATCGGTACCCGCTGGGGGGGAATCGGTTCCCTCCGAGCATACTGGAATTCTTGGAGCCAAACCATTCAGGGGGGAATCGGTACCCCCTGGGGGGGAATCGGTTCCCTCTGAGCAATCTGAAATTTTTGGTCGGTACCCCCTTGGGGGGGGAATCGGTTCCCTCCGAGCATACTGGAATTCTCGGAGCCAAACCATTCAGGGGGGAATCGGTACCCCCTGGGGGGAATCGGTTCCCTCTGAGCAATCTGAAATTTTTGGCTTTGAAATGGTTCGAAATACTTTGTAAAATTATTTTGAAATTGTTTTAAGTTTAAAACTTAATTTTACACTTTGAGTAAAGACTGAAAATGATCTTTGAAAGATTTGGAGTAATGTTTTGATATTCGAATAATTCTATCGAATATACTTAGAAAATCATTTGGAAAATCTTAAAATTCATTTAACTTAATTTGTTATATCGAAATATCAAAATGTTTTCAATACATTGCGATTTTCACGTTGCGATTTTTATTTCGCATTGCGATTATCCCGTTGCGATAGTCATTTTCGCATTGCGATTTTTAAGTTTCGTGTTGAGTCTATTCTTCTTCTATAAATTGAAACTTGAATGGATTGCATTACTTCAACCAAAAGACAAAACAAAGACAAATACTAACTTCACATGGTTATTTTAGAAATGTTTAGCAGTATTGGCAGCAACCGAATGAATTTACTAATCAATCTAAGTGAAATGGTTAATCTAAGTGAAATTACGAGTAAATCAAGTTAAATATATATGAAAAATCTTAAACTTACCTCGTTGCGTAGAGTATGAACCTCATTCTGCAACGATGCTACCATCTCACGTAGAGCCGCTACCTCACCACGTAAAGTAGATACCTTGTCACGCCATGCACCATTGTCATCGCGTAAAGTACCGACCTCCTCACGCAAGGCATTGACCTCATCACGTAACTCCCCTAACTCATCCTGTGGAGATGGAGAACAGGGAGATAAATGTCGTGGCATCTTTGCCAGTCGCCTATCATGAGGTGATGGTGGAGAAGAGGCTCGATGATGTGACAGAATAGGTGATGGCTCTCGTTGTAGAGGTATATAGTGTGGTCGATCAGGTGATGGCTCTGGGTGAGGTGATGGCTCTCGAAGTGGAGGCTGCTCATCATCTGTGCCATCAAAAAAACGCTTACTAGCTTGCCACCAATCAGTGGCAAGCTCAGCCTCCGTGGGTGTCAGCCTCTGTAATAGAGTGTTGGCCTCATATTAACATAAAAGCTCAAACAAAGTTAAACGTGTACTAGTAATAACATGTTTATATATGGTAGTATTTGTGTTAACTTACAACATTTATTGTCATATATCGTAGTAACTCTTCCCAAATCAACAGCCGCCGTTTCCTCTTCCAGGAAATAGCTCTAGGAATATCATTTGAAGTTTTTAATGCATATGTCTGCATGTCGGGAAAAGCCTCAAATATCCAAATCTACAAAAACAATATAATACACAAACATTAGTAATTGTTAAATAATTAATTATAATTTTGGAAACATTATATAGAAATTCTTACCTTGAAGGCCCAAATAAAGCCTGACAAAGTGTATTTGGAACCATTGCCACACAAAATTTTGCGGTCATCAAAGGCAGACGACAACTTATTCCAGGTAGCTTTCCATAGATACGAACCCCACAGAAACATGTTTCATGCATTTAGGTCCTCTACCAATAATATTAGGTCCTTAGAAATAGGTTGTCTGGCCTCTCTGCCTAAAAAGCCGGCATGCAAAAGTACTAAAAGGCATACTCAGACAACATCGACGTCATCCATCCGAGTAAAACCATTTTTCTTATTCAATAATCTCGTCAATTCGTCGACGTGTAAATTCGGCTTCTCCATTGACAGCTCAGGAAAAACCCGGGATAACCATGATGGGCGGGTAATATGACTAGTTTATCGACCTACATCATCGTGTCCGAAGCGTAGACCAATGATTAAGCAAAACTCCTCCCGCCCAAAACATGTATACGCCGGTGAAAAATGAAACCATATCTCTTCATTACCACGTTTTATACTCTCGGGGAGATCGCTAGTCATGGTCTGAAGCCACAAATGGGTCAACATAGCATCTTCACCCGGATGTTGTACTTTTTGCCATGGCCCGAAGCAAGTATCCTCAAACAATTTTCTTTGTACAGGTGAAAGCTTCGACGCAATTGTAGTGACTATGCTTATTTTATTCCTTAAGGTCAATTGAGCCGAAAAAAAGTTCTACAAAAACAATAAACATACCAAGTTAGATTAAAAACTACACTGTGAAGATATACCAAAAACAATAATAAACATAAAGAGTAGTAATAGTTTATTCTTCAAACTTAAATTTGCAACAATGTGAATTTCGTATTTGTCTTTGTTTTTTGGTTGAAGTAATGCAATTCATTCAAGTTTCAATTTGCAGAAGAATAATAGTTTCTGAAACTTAAAATCGTAACACGAAAATGACTATCGCGACGTGAATTTGACTATCGCAACGAGATAATCGCAACGCGAAATGAAAATTGCAACACGAAAATGACTATCGTAACGCGAATTTGACTATCGTTGTGATTTTCATTTCGCGTTACGATCCTCGGTTTCAAATAGTCATTGTCTAAAATTGAAACTTGAATGAATTGCATTACTTCAACCAAAAGACAAAACAAAGACAAATACTAACTTTACAGGGTTAAAGACTAAACAATTTAGCAGTATTGGCAGCAATCGAATGAATTTAATAAGCAATCTAAGTGAAATGGTTAATCTATTATTGAAATTACCAGTAAACTTATCATCAATTTCAATATGAAAAACCTAATAATAATGCAAAAATTTCAAAATAAAAATAATTTAAAAAACTAACCCTCGGTGGTTGATTTGGTTGATTTTCCATTTCTGATTGTGAATGATTGTGAGGGTGGCTCTGAGTGATGGAGATAGACGGATTTCGCCGGAGATGGGGACGGATTTCGCCGGAGATGGAGACAGATGTCGTCGTAGAGAGTGAGAATGGAGATGGGACTGAGTTGTGATTTAGGGTTTTTAGGTTAAGAGTTGCAATTACGGGATGTATTAATATTCGTGTTTGGAATTTGAAAATAAAATACGCATTGCAATACTAATGGCGCTTTGAAAATCGCATTGCGATTTTGTATTATCGCAATGCGATAGTCAGAATCGCATTGCGATAGTCAGAATCGCATTGCGATAGTCAGAATCGCGTTGCTATTTACATATTCTCATTGCGATTTTGACTATCGCATTGCGAATCTGGAAACTGATTTGTGATACTGGAGATCGCGTTGCGATTTAGAGATCGCATTGCGATTTTGTTGGTCATTTTGGCAAATCGAAAAAAAGTTGGTCAAAATTGTATATTATAAGGAATTTTCTATCACTGAAGTTATTTTCTCTTATTATAATATCTTATATATAAAAAATAATTATTATTATAATCTTTTAAAAAGATAATTATGGTAAAATATTCTTTCTTATCTTATCAAATAAAAACTAAAAAAATTATTCAAGTAAAATTTAAAAATGAATTTTTATTTTAAAATTTGAGTTCGTAGGGTCATAACATATACTTCTTTTGAATGGTAAAAAAAAGATTACTTGAAATTCAATATCTTTCAATACAATAATTATATGACAAGTGAGTCTTTTTTATTAGATAATTCCGTCATCGAGCTCGAGGTTTTAGTCTTTTCATAATAGTTCCCTTATTTATTGCGACTTGACTAATGAATAAACTTATTTCATTGAAACTCTTATTGTGACGAATCGTTGTTGCAGAATAAACCAAATTTAAAATGGGATAAGATGCTCGATAAGGCATGAATTCTAGTATCATAAGTGTTTCTTCGTAGGAACGTCCGTGAATCTGATCAATTATTCTTTGTGCTTTGTGAGCAGACATACATATATGTTGACCTAAAGCGTATACTTCGTTTGAAGTTGTATATGGGTTCCTCTTGTGTTTCTTTATCTTTATTATAAGGTTTACCTCTCACCAATGAATTTATTAATTAATCTCTATTTTATTTATTAAATTTATTATAATAATATTAATGACGAAATTTATTATCTTTTTTTGCATGTCCGTGAAAATTTATGGTAGGTATGAATTCTCCCAATTTATGTCCTACCATACGATCCGTTATATAAATAGGCAAATGCTCTTTTCCATTATGGACAATGATAATATAACCGATCATTGTGGTATAATGGTAGATGCTCTGGACTAAGTTATTATTATTTTTTCTGCTTTTGTATTAAGCATTTCCATTTTTTTAACATATGATTTGTTACAAAAGGATTTTTTTAATATTTTTTATTTTTAAAATACGTGTGAAGGAATCAACGGTCTCGCATAAAAATTAAAATACTAAATATAATTGATAGTGTATTAAAGAAATTATAATAAATGTTTTCATTATTACGCAACCAAAATACAACAATGTATACACTTCTTGGAGTATGTTTAGCCTAGAAATCACACAAGATAGAATGGAACACGGTTTGTACAGAAAGTACAGCATGTTCACTTTTGGTTCTGTTAATAGTAGGGTGCAAAAGAGAATCGAATTAGAGAACTTTCATTCCCTCTCGGATGAAGGTCGTAAAGGCAAAAACGACGACTTCCGGTAACTACTTTGCATTCCTTTTAACTTGAGTGGACTCCATACCAACGATTTCCGTTGCAAAGCAACGACGGTCGGATGCCTCGGCTTCCATGAACCTGCCTGCGCGCCTGGAGGGCTCCCCATGAATTTGCTACTACTTCTCATGGCTGCAGGTGATGATGGTTTCCTAAACTCTGGCAATGGAGAGAAAAATCTCGAATATCTTGCCTTCCTGGCATCCCGTGCTAACGACGGTCTGTCCGTTGTACCATTGTTGAAACCGGAAGTAGACCTCCGGAGTGGTGTGGTCATGTGCGAATCAGGCCGGATGGCAACGATGGATACTCGCCTTTTAGGCTGAAGGACTTGAGCATTGGCTGTTTGAGGTTTGACAGCAATGGAAGAACGTCTCGGTTTTAGAAGGTTTTCTCTGTTTGTTTTTGGTGCCATCACGGTTTCAGAGTTGTTTTCTTTGTCATTAGAGGATGCTACCATCGATATTCTAGATATCTTTCTGTTGGTGGTGGCCAAAGGTGTTGCTGGGGGTATGAAGTTGGTGATTCTTCGCAGTGGTAACCTCACTTTTGATGGACCAAGTGGCGGCTTTTTATCCGTTTTGGTCTTCTCCGCTGCTTGTTTAAGAGGGGGTCTAGTAGAAGCAGAAGCAGCAAAAGCTCTGGTTTCCTGCTTTAATCGAGTTTTCCGTTCCTCAGCTAGCTGATTTTCTAGGTCACGAACCTGACATCAAATACCAAGCAATGAAAATGATACAAAACACCAGGAAGAACAAAGCATCCGAAACTAGATTGCTAATAAACGTTTTACAATCTGAAAAAGGCCGTTCTACATCTCGGAGATAACCGAGTCGGTTTGTTTAATGATTACCTTTTCTTGGAGACTTTTGCATATATGTTCTCTCGCAGAAAGTCTCAGCTGCAAGGATTGCACATTATCCTGCAACTTCTTTGTTTCCTTATCATCATGTTTCAACTTTTCTGCCTGTTAATTAATCAATATCCAGAAGTCAAACAAATTGAATTCACCTCAAATGTTAAGAGAGGGAAATATTACAAATTTCATCAATTTGTCATACCAGTTGCTTATACTTGTACAGCTCAGTAAGATCCACCTGTTTGAGGGCAGGACCACTTTCAATCCCCCTAACTCTGCTAGCAAAATTCAATGAACAGAGTGTCTCCCCGAGGTCCGCATTAGATGGGCTGATCTGTACAAACATCACAGTCTTACAATCTCCTCCTGCATTTCATGATTTTCCATTAGGCTACCAAACATGAATACAGATCCTTCATGGACAATCCTTCCAGATTAACTAGCTTCAGATAAAGAGGATCAACTTCCATTGATACTATGACGAGACAAAAGCTTACCTAGAGAGCTTTGTAACATGTGTGTGAGCTTTGAGTTCCTGGTTTTCCACAGAAAAGGAGAAAGAATAAAAGTGTTAATGTGTTTTCAGTCGGTTGTTCGTATGTATTATTCTTGTATGAGAACAGGGTGGTAAGAGAGGGAGAAACCTGTAAGGAATATAGGACGTTTTGGATGCAAGGGCGGAAATTACATCACCAAGCGCTGAGAGAGATTTATTTATGAACTGTGATTCCTTTAGTCTTTCACCTTCAACTTCAATCTTTCCAAAGCGTTCACTGCCAGCCAAATCTACCAGCCATAGGTGACTCCTAGTCTTTTGACCATTTATCAAATTTGTTCCCCTTACATTGACACGCAACAAGCTGCAAAGAGAGAAATTCTGGTCATTATAGTTAAAATGCAACAAAATTTTGTCAGCCAGAGTTATTGAATAACAAATGCTTTCTCATTTATTAGATCGCAACAAGTCTAGCCTTTTAAACATAATTCAGAAACAAAGCAAATAGAAAGCAAGATATTACCAGTGAGAACGACTGCTCATTTCATTGGCGTTGGTAGCTCCAACTGATCTGACCCGGTTTCCAGACTTTAGTAGCTCCCAAACTTCCTCTGTACTGTAAACACTAGCTTCGACGAGTCCTGGAACTTCTTGTATCCCATCTGCTGTTTGCTTGATATCCAACCTATATCAACAAAATGTTGAACTTCAAAATTGGAATTAACTCTTCAGATATGGGGTTTCTAAAATCTTCTTTATGGAAGACATTAAGCAGAGACTGGTTGGAAATTCTGAACTTTATTTTACCTTCTCAACATATTGTCCCTAAGAATAGTTATTAAAGTTTATGCCAATGGATTTTTTTCTTTATGGAGATAAAAGTTAATAGATTGCACAAAAGTATCTGTTTTGCAACCAGACTTTAATAATTGGCCAACCGAATATAAATTAGTTTTATGAAAAAAACCTTTTAGTATGCTGGTTGGAATTTTCTCCTAGCAGGTCCCTTATCTTTTCGTTGTAGACCTCCATCATGCTGACAAATAGTTCATATTTCATTACACCACCTCTCTCTCCAGGAACTCGAAACAACTCCTCCAATGTCCTGTAATTAACTCCTCTATTTTCTGGTGTTCCCTCCATAGTAAATGTCTTCCCGGTTCCAGTTTGTCCATACGCAAATATGCAAACATTAAAACCATCCAATACAGAAGTGACAATTGGTTTGGTTTGTGCAAATACAACGTCTGCATAATTAAAAAAACACAGAATTAAAAACTTATACAATAAAACCTAGTGAAGATATCTCAGGTCATGTAAGCTCAATCAAGAGATCTTAGGGGTACCTTGACCATCCTCAGGCCCAAATACATGATCAAACTTGAACTGTTTCTTGGAATAATCGGAAGAAATTATCTGTAGCTCAGCATCCTGAGACGAGTCAAATTCAACTACAGAAGAGGACCCATTCGAGATTTCAACTTGGTTTAGAGGTCTGCATCTGCAGAAGACCCTGATGTTTCCTTTAAGCTCAATCACTTCATTGTAAAGGCGCTTCCTTTCCGATGACTCATCGAGGTATTTCTTCTTCAGAAGTTCATACTCATTATCTATACCAAACAAAAAATAGAAAATGAATTCAAATAATAAAAAAAACAGAGACCCAATACTTTCGTTTCTTCAATCCACTACTTACTGAGCAGCTGAAGAGTTCCTACAATGTCATGAGCAGGAAAAGACTTCACTTGATTGGACAGAATTTCATGCTCTGTCTTTAAATTCTGTGATATTAAGTTAATCAAAGTCAACCCCTTGAACCATTAATGAGAACATAAACAAGGAAAATATATATATCAAGCTTATGAAAAGCAATAGCTTACTCTATTTTACCTGAAGACTGTTACTCAAATTAATAACTTTCTGTAATATCGGAAGAGTTGGCCCCTGAGCTGGAGATATTTCTTGGTTCATGCTGGCCATAGTATCTTCATCCATGGAGTCGATATTCTCTTCTAAAAGTTCTAAAGGAATAGCCAATGTTTTGTTCAAATTAGTATCTAATTACTCAAATACTTATTCAACATAATTTTCCTCAAATACGATAATTTGAACATTCAAATGCACCAACAGAAAAAAGAAACATTACAACAATTTTCTAGCCAATACGAAGGATTCATGAACAGCCAAGAATCATCACTCACTTTACAAGTATCATCCAAGTAAGAATTTTTTAGGGTTTCGAACAAATTATCCCCAATTGCTAAATTCCGTTCAGATTTAGAGAACATGTCATTAAAATTCGCCTAAATGCTTTCTTCAAAGCAAAGAATGAAAGGAAGAAAGAAAGAAAAAGAAAAAGAACTAACCAGTGTGAGAGTTCGGGCAAGACAATGTTTCATTCTCCACCGTTGGATCTATAAAAACATCACGGTTTTCCACAGATCAGAATCATAAAAATAAAATTGAAGCACAAAAAGAAAGAAGATCGAAGCGCTAACCTTTATCAAAACCGATCAGATCGCAACTCTCCGAACCCATTTCAGCCATTTGATTACAGAAAAACAAGAATTCGATTGTTAGAAAAGAATGACTAAATGGAAAATTAAACGATTTAAGAAGAGTAATTGGGAGATTGAGCAATATTAAGAGCGAGAATTTTCGAGAAATAAAAGAAATTAGAGAGAGAGAGAGAGAGAGAGAGAGAGAGAGAGAGAGAGAGCTAAACTGAAGAGTTGAGTTTAAATTTTGAAAAATTGGGGCTAGGGTTTTCGTTTGGATTCAAAATGGAGAAACGCCAGCCGTTGATGGACTTAGTCTTTGTAACGGCTATTTTCATATAAATTAAGGAGCGTATGAATCGGGTCTAAAAAAGTTTGGATCTGGTTTTTTCAACCCGATTAAAAATTACAGAATAATCCTTCTACTATAGGGCATTGCTTTATTGAATCCATTGATTATTAAAAGTTATAAAATGATCATCTAACTATCATATGTTCCAAACAATTATCTAACTAAAAAATTATCGATTATCTAAGTTGAACATTAATGCTCTTAAACCAACCCTTAAATGATATTGAAAAACAACACCGACAATATTAGGCAGCGTATCAATTTATACTTGTCAATTGTGATGGAATATATCACACTATATTTGTATTGATTGAAATTAACCTTCTAGGTAAATTAAAACAAATAAAGAAAAACTTCAATATTATTTCTGAAAAGAAATTAATTACCTAAGTGAGAATAATTTAAAAGTCAATTTGTTAATGCAAATTAAATTAAAATTTGAAGAATGAACTTTTGAAAAGTAAATAAATTGTTTGAACTTGAAAATTGTTCAAATTCTATAAAATCAAAATAATCGAACTAAAACCAAAAATATACGCGCAAAATACCTATCATGTCACCCAACTATTAATAAAATTATAAATGAATCATTTAATTTAAAAAAAATTACATAAATATAAATCAATTAATTAATTATTATAAACAAATCAATAAAAATAAATTTTTAAATTACAATCAAATCACTGAATTTATTGATATTACAATCATAACTAAAGAGTTAACATCCGTTTAATTGAGTGAACACATCTTTATCTATGTCCGAAAATGTGTCGAATATCTATACTTCAAGAGAAATGAAGGGTAGCAGAAATATAAATACATAACAAAGCAACAAGAACCAAAAAAATTGGCGAAATATCTTAAAGCAAAATTTTTCATTGCACAATAACCAAGTTCAACCATTTATCTATCCTTTTCCCTCTTAATATTCTACTCGTCAAACTCTCCCGCCATTAAAATGACAGTAGATATTACAGTTCTTTCGCCTTCCTATGCGTATAGACTTCCGATATGACCGGAAATTAGGGCACGGAAGTTTGATAAAAGTCAGGCATGGATGTTTCTAAGAAGATGACATTTCCCTCAATTGGAGGCATTTTTCCTCGCTGCATATACACGGTAAGCTGCAAACCCAACGACGACTACGGCAGCTCCAACTACAAAAGGTGAAACACCGCATTGAAAATGATCAACAATCTGATGTTGTGAGCATGGCCATCGATATAAAATATTTAGACAGAAGGTAAAAAAATGGGGGGAAGGAAAAAATGAGCAGTGCCGTTAAAATCAAAGCAACTTTCAAGCAGTACAAGTACTGTTTCCCAAATTTTCAACTTGCACATTAATCTTCAAACAAAAGCACAGCAAAGGAACAGTAAGCCGAAGTGTCGAACTAGATCGAGGATTTAAAGTGCATGTGCACTTTAATGTTGTTTTTGTTCAGAAAAGAAAGGCAGAATAGTACTTGTCCCTGACCTATGTTACTAGGATGCAGGTGTGAGTGCCATAAACGCAAGGATGGACCTAGGGGGCGGGTGGGGGAAGTCGGCCCCCTGAATTTTCAAATTCTCCTATATTTTAGATTTTTTTGTGCGGTCACCACCTGAAGTTTTCAAATTCTCCTATATTTTAGATTTTTTCTGTGTATTCTATTGATAATCTGTTTTCGCCCACCTAAAATTTGATAAGTCTGTTTCGTCTAAATTTTTATAAGTTCGCCCTCTAGTGTAAAATCTTGCATCCGTCCCTGCATATATGAGTATACTCTCGCACGTTTCAGTACCTTTTGGACAGGGGACCTTCGGACAAGGGGTACTTCACGAAAAATTATGTGGATAGCAACTACTCATAAAGATCTAACCACAGTGAAGAAAATTTCAAGAGCAATGAGAATGAAACAGTTGTGGAATGTCGGACTACCAGTGTACCTGAGGCAAACATGAGAGATCGGTTCATGAGTCGATGGTACTGCTTCCGACTTCTGCCGGACTCCGTTTCAGGAATGCTCAAATGAGGATGCTCAGCAGCATTTACTATCCTTCGGAATATGTTGTTGAAATCACTCAATTTTGAGCTGATAGGTATAGGTGCCTCTACTCCCATATCCTGGCTAACCTGCAAACGCAAAATTTGTAACACAGTGCATTTTCAGCCCAGCTCCTCAAGATGAAAACTCCGATGGACTAATTCTATAATTATCCAATACAGTGAGGCAACCAGTGACATGAACATACATGGTACATCTTCAATGTATTGTGTGTTCGTGCATATTAATGTGTCGAAATTGTGCAATGTAGTATCACATGAAATATAGATTCTGATACGTTAATAATTTATATTATAAAAATTTCGAGACATTTTTGTATTGTGCTGTGTCATAATTTTTACTTATTTTTTCAGTACTGCTGGGTCTAAAATGAAATGAACAAAGTGTTTTACATTTTACGAGCTCTACAAGACATTCTACTTGTCCACTTAAAATGCAAGAAAATTATTTAAAAAGGGGAAGTAAAATACCCTGGTAGAATCCTGTATTGCCATTGGAAATGGATCCAGGTCATCTTTAGCAGCAACAATGAGACAAGGCACCTCATAACCAGTGTCTTCACCATGACCAGCGACATCCACGAGCAATTCAGTTGCCCTCTTCCATGATGACTCATCAGAACTGCAAAGGCCGGACAATCATGACACAGCACTCAGCAAAAGGAACAGTATACACTCAAATATGCATCTAAATGAAATTTTATAAAAATTCAAACATGGGTTAAAAAATATTTAACTATCTTTATTTGACATGACAAGCACACTCCAAAAGCGCGTGTGAGAACAACCTTTTGCGCCATAAGATCACATAATTGAAAATGTTTAACTAATGGCAGTAAATACCTCAAATTTAAAACCCTAGCTTGAATAAATCAAGCCCGTGATTTACCTGTCATGAACAAATACTGCTATGTCACAGGCAGCCAAAGACTGTTTGGTAGACAGCAGTTTTGCAACTCCATCTTCAGGTATCTCTCACAAGACTAGAGTTTTCTTTATTCCCTACAAATGAAATGAGAAATACACTCAGCCCAATCACTGAAACTCAAAGCTACAATGAAGTCAACCAAGGTTCATGCCCAAGGATATGCTAAGGAAACTATAAACTTCTATGAGCAAAAGTTCCCGAACAACTTGCTTTGATAGTGCAAGGAGCATGTGAATTTTCATGGGTTTTAATCTCGAAGAACTAGTTTTATTGCATCTGAACCTTATGCAACATCATTTTAGTATACCCACTTTATAGTATAGACTCTAGAAGAACAAGAAATGCAGATATACTAAAGTTCAAGTTACTTCAGCAACCCCCAATCCCGACCCCCCAAAAAAAGATCCCTGTGTTTTGAGTTAGGGTCTTGCTTTCAACATACAAACACAAAACACGGTTCATGGTTTAAAGGAACTAACCCCAGGTAGTTCCACACATTCACTGCATATCGGTCATCAGTGGTTGGAGAATATGAATCAGAATATGACCTGCATTAAGGTTAATAAGTTCGTCAATTTGGGGAAAAGATAATTAGTTTATTAGGAAAACAAATTCTAATGAATACCTTCCAAGGAAAGAATTCATCAATGCAGATTTCCCAGCATTTGCTGGACCGAAAACAAAGCACTGGAAAACATTTCTTTCTGATTGTTGCTTCTTTCGATCTAGGTGCCTTCTCCTAGTCACACGGATTGCAGACGAAGGATCACCGTGATATCCAATGTATATTAAGTTCTCCAAACTATAAGCTGGGTCTAGGAGTGTCATAAGGGCCCACTGCAGTGCACAATATAAATCATGAAATACAAGTACGGGCTGATCTATCATAGCTAAAATATGCAGAGCAATGATCTACCCAATAGCCAATCTACCCAAATGTAATAAAAACTTCATTACAACATTTTCATAAGCAGCCACAAATGTTAATAGAGTTGCTATTCATTATGGGAATAACGGATTAATGTTTGAACTGCAAAGACTCAAAACAAGAGCAAGTCAAAGTTTCCATAAGCCAATATGCATTAAAGTTCCCTGGAGTTAGCGTAGTCAACAATGAGTTATTAAGTATGATATTCCCATTTCAAGGAGGAAAACAAGGATACCTCTGACAGAAATGCATCAAGTGATAGCCCTCCCAGTGAAGTTTTTTCTGCAGCATCCTTATACGGAATGTCATTCCAAGGGCTGAAGTTTAACAGAAAAAATGTCAAGCATTATCCACAACCATGTCCAGTTGAAAGCTTATAATAATAGAGATAATATGTAATCGTATATGAAAAATACATGGTTGGTACAAAGTAAAGGCAAAAGGGACAAAGTTGGGATGGAGAAGACATCCCTGCACTTAAATTTGCCTTCTCAATAGGGCCCATAATGCAAAAATAAACTAATCTCATTTAAAATGGGAACCATAATACCTTTCCGGAGCAGTTGAGAAAACATCCTCAACTTCAATTGACCGAAGGTTATTGTCCTGAAAAAGAACAATATTCAAGTTGTTAGAACTTCAAAAGCTTTAATAACAAGTTAGGAATATTAATATTTGAAGAGTGGACAATGTCAAAGGCAAGGTACATCAAACTAAAATAAATGTGAGAAAGACTGAGATATACCAAGTCACTGTCAAACAATTCATACACCCCCCTCAGGAATTCGATAGCTTCATTTGTCAGCTCCACACTCTACACAAATTAAAACAAAGAACATAGAATCATAGTGGCAAGTTTAAATAAGGCTGCACTAAAGGATATAAGATAAGATAGTGTTGTTATATGTGAAACAAGACGATAATTGGTCTAACATCAGCCAATTAGGCACTGCTCATTTTATATACAGTTGGGCATTCCATCAGCAACTGAACATATGATTAATCGCATCCAGGCATAGTGCTAATAAAATTTCACTCTACAGCACACCGAGTTATTACCATTGCAGGCTGTAATATTTACATGAAAAGAATTCTTAGGATACAA